GATTTGTTTTTTCTAGTCAAAGTGATCTTTTTAAAAACTGAAAAGCCATAGTGTGTCTCCCCGAGATTTACAGCCCTCAGTGGTTTTCTAAAACCTTTTTTTTTTTTTTTTTTTTGGTACTGGAGATGGAACTCTGGACCTTGGGCTTTCCAGGCAGGTGCTTAGGCCACTGAGCTATCTCCCTGGCCCTGACCCTTTTGTTTTAGACTCTGTGTCCTTGCAAAGGTGGTAGGGACTGAGGAAGCCAGGGCCACCCAGCTACAAGGAGTTCTGGCTAACCTGACCCTCCCTCTCTTCAGGTGGTGACCTCCTTCAGGACTGGCTCATGGGCTGGGCATGAGTGGAGAGGTTGGGGGTTCTGCCGGGACTCTCTGTCCATCTGTCTGTTTTTGTTTTGTTTTGTTTTTTTTCTGCCTGCCTTCTTGTTTATACTCTGAAGATTATACCTCTCTTGTGTTGGGCAAACATCCCCGGATGCTGAGTCACCCTTTAAGCACTGCTGACCTGGTATTTCTTTTCTTTCAGGAGTTCTTGGGTAGCTCTCTGGTTTCCTCCCTTAAGGTCCTAAAAGGTCTGGTCCTGGATGCCTCCTCTGACCTCTTTTCCTCCACTCTTCTTCCTCTTCAGGTCCAACCACACCAGGTTTTCCTGGTCATTCTTGTGGTTCTCACTGTGAAGCTCACTCTCTGGGCTCTTCAGGACCTCTGACCAAAGGTCCTCTTATCATAGAGGCATTCCTTATTACCCTTATTAGGTTTCAATTTCCTTCACAACACTCATCACTTCCTGATATTTAATATATTTGTTGGTTGTTGCTCCCCCCCCAGAATGTACACTTCAACAGTAAACAGGCAGATAAAAGCAGGATTCCCAATTGAATTTGCATGTCGAATAAACAAGTCATTTTTTGGTAGGAGAATGTCCCAGATGTTGCACGCGATTTATTTATATTTTAAAAATTTCACTGTTTACCTAATATTTAAACTTTACTGGGTGTCTTGTATTTTTATTTGCTAAATCTGTCAACCCTATTCTGCAAGGCAAAGAGAGTGGTTATTTTGATTAGTGCTGTATCCCCTGCACTACAGCAGCTCCTGGAACGTTGCCCTCAATAAATACGTTGAATAAGTGGATAAATGAATGTGGTCAACCCGGTCATTAATCTGAAATGCGACTCAACTTTTAACAAACAGCCTGGGGGACAGAGGGGTGGAGCTTCTAAGCTGGGTTAGTCCAGTTTTAAATACAAGGCCTGGACATCCCAAGAACTTTCCCGGCAGGTCCAGCTGCCCTGACCCGGTTCCTGGGTAAACAAAACCCTGCCAACGATCAGCCCAGCCACAGCTCTGCCTTGGCCCTCCCGGGGGCGGGGCCTCCCTCACCGCCGGCCAGACACAGCCCTCGCCAGAGCCGGGCCCCTTTAACGCCCCGCCTCCCACCGCCCCTCGCGCCCTCTTCCGTGACGTCATCCAGGGAGCGACCAATGGGGTCGCGTCTTACTGACAGGCGGCGCCGGCGGCAGCTGCCAAAGGGGAAGTGAGCTGTGGCCGGAGCGATGGCCCGGGTCTGGAGCCCGCGGCCGCCGCCGCAACCAGCGCGTCAGGAGCGGCCAGAGCCAGAATAGGGGCCGGGATTGCAGCTGCAGTGGAAGCTGCGTATGTGAGTTGCCCAAGTCGCTCTCCCAGACACGTCAAACTCGGAGGGAGCGCGTGAGGGGACAGTAGCAGTCGCCCCTTCAGCACCCCAGTCAGGCCCAGACTTCGGGGCTGGGGTCTCCCAGGAGCGGGCCCGGCTCGTCTCAAGCGGAGACCTCCGAGCCGAGCTCCTTCAAACTCAGGACGGAAGCCAAAGAGCGGTGATCATCACTGACCATAATTGGCTCCCTAGCCCAGGCATTTCACACACACACACACACACACACACACACACACACCCGCTGCCACCTCTCTTGCCAGGGACTGGCGAGGTCCGACTGTCTTACCCTGCATTACTCTCCCTTCTCCCATTCCAGAATAAGTTTCTTTTTCTATCCGGTGAAAATCCTGTCCCCAGAGATCCAAAGTACGTATCCTGAGTGTTCGTAGTTCCTAGATCATTGTTAAAAATATTGTTGAACTTAACCAAACTGCAAATTTTTCATTCTTCGCTTAGCTTTCTTCCACTTTTTTACCCTTTCTACACTCTTAACTGACACTCCATGCCCGGGGCTTTATCCATTTGCATCACCAACTCCTTGGCGACCTCTATGTAACTTCCCCCACTCATCTGAGTTCCAGTTTACTCTGGGCTCCGTTCTCCAGCTCACAGCGGATCTGGTCAGTCCCACCTCTGGGTGGGAGTGACCAGGAGGGCTCTGGCCCAGGATTTCCCACCCTGGAAGGCAGCTCCAAAGCAGCAAGAGAATTGGGCGTCGGGTACGAACCTGGGAGCTCAGGAGTGGGCGCTCCACTAACCCCACACAAGAAGATGAAAAAGCGCAAGGAGCTCAATGCATTGATCGGTTTGGGTGGAGACAGCCGGAGAAAGAAGTCCAAGAAAAGCTCCAGTAGCCACCGCCTGCTTCGAACGGAGCCTCCTGACTCAGAGTCCGAGTCCAGCTCAGAAGAGGAAGAGGAATTTGATGGAGTTGGAAATCGCTCTCGCTTTGTCAAGTAAGTGATGCAGTGGGAGGCCTCAGATGAGTAAAAGTGATCTCCTCAGCTACTAACAAGAATTGATAGGAAGAAGAAAGGCACTGAGGAAGAGGAGATGGCTGACCTTGGAAGGCAAACAGGTAAAAAAGTGTCAGAGAGGCAAGTTCACATCCTGAATGAAGGGTAAATTAGAGGTCAGTCTTTAGATGTGAAAAGGACAACTCTGGAACTAGAGTGGAGATACAGGTGTAGGCAATGTTCCAAGGGCCCAGAACATCCAAAAGAGGCTTAGAATAGAGACAGCAGGGCAGAGCTTTTGGGACTAGGCCTTTAAAAAAAAAAGTAGGGTCAGAGACCTTAAGATTGTTAATTATTTTTTGTACTCTTAATAAATCTGCATCTTGGTGATAAGGGAAGATGATGAGGGACATAATACAGAAAGTATGAGCCTTGACACTAGCTAGAGAGTGAAGGTGAAGAAATAACTTTTTCCCAAGCCATTTTTTGATAATGTTGGTAATCAGAGTTCAGGATGGGAAAGAGCTAAAGACAACCTTGAAAGTGTCCTTGGTAGAAGCAAGGACTAGCAGAAGGTTGTTGTGCTAAAAGAGATTGGGTCTTTGTTGTTCATTTAGAATGTCTATATCCTTTTAGTTAAAGAGTTTGGTTTCTAAGGAACTTTGCCAGATGAGGTATGTAAATCAGTTTTGTGTGTGATGTATAAATGTTTGATGAAGTCTTAATTCTGGAATGCTTGCTATCTTATGAGTTAGATGTTGGAGGCTGGATGGAGTTTAATGTGAAATTGCATCTGTTTGTTTCCTTCCTTCTGAGTCAATAAACTAGAGCAATGGTGGAGAATCTATGGCAAGCATGCCACAGCCAGCTGTTTGTTATCATTGAAAGCTCTAAAAGATTTCCATCACTGAACCATGGAATAGCAGGAGTTCTCTAAAACACACAGATTCTTGCTGTGCTGGCCCCACCCCTGGGGCATGCTGAGACAGCAATTGAGACTGGGCGTGGTGCTGTGCGCCTATAATCCCAGTGCTTGGGAGGCTGAAAACAGGAGGATCACTATGAGTCTGATCTGTGCAGTGAGACCCTGTAAACCCTGTCCTAAATACAAGAAAAAAAATACAGATTCTGTTTCCTTCATTACATTTGCAGTTAAGACTTGCTCAAAAGTTTGTGAGGTTTCAATAACTGAGAAAGCATATCTTTGAGAGAGAAATAGATACAATACAGTGATAGAATTGCAGAAAACTGCTAGTTTTTACACTTTTCTAACTGAGCTTGTCTCCAAAGGCCTCCTTTCTGAATTGATGATGAATGTAGTGGTCTGAAGAGCCCAAAGATGTTTCCCGTGGCCCACAGGACCTCTTCTGCAGTTTCTGATGAAGTTTAAAGCCTTTGTACTGAATAGAACCTTTCATGGATCGTACTTAGTTAATCTTTTACTATTTAGGTATAAGTGCATTATCCTGTTTGCCCTTGGTCATTCCCTACAGAAGATAATTGCGTGCCAACACATGCATACTGTTTCTATAAAACTGCTCATAATCACTTTCATACTGATGGTTGGATTTGTTCTTTTTATAGGGGAGACTATTTACGATGCTGCAAGATCTGTTATCCCCTCTGTGCTTTTGTCATCCTTGCGGCCTGTGTTGTGGCCTGTGTTGGCTTGGTGTGGATGCAGATTGCTCTCAAGGAGGATCTGGATGCACTCAAGGAAAAATTTAGAACAAGTAAGTGGTCACCCTTTTCAAAGTTTCATCTTAGGCTCTTTTTTTTTTTTTTTTCACATTCTAGGACAATTTGCACCAAACTTAATTAAGAATTTTAACCTCTCTGGTGGAGCAATTATACATTCTTTTGTACTGCCTTGTTTTGTTTTTGTACTAAGAATCAAACTCAGGACCTTGCACTTGTCAGGCAGGCACTGTGCCACTGAGTTATATCCCTGACCCAAATTACACCTTCTTTTCAGCATTTTTTATCCTCACTCTCAGCTATCAGCTTGAATAGTATAACAATTTTTTTCATTTTTAAATCCATAAGTAGAAGTTGCTCACGTACCACCAGGACAAGTAGTATCTGAGATAGTGTCTGACTGTATAGTAAGACTAGCCTTGAACTTGTGACAACTCTCCTGAGAACCCCAGTGATAGGATTGCAGACATACCCCACCATACCCGGCTTAGCATCTGAAATAATGGCATTCCAGTTGTCTCTTAGAGTGTGGAAGGGAAGTGCTTCAGGAGCCTAGAGCTTTAGTTAACCTGGGCTGTTTCCTTACACCTCACTGGGCCAATTGAAAAAGAATGTACAACTATCAAATGATTTCCACTTAAACACCATGTAGGACATAGTAATGAGCACTAGTAATAGTAGTAGTCAACATATGTGGAATGCCAATTATGTGCCAACTCACAAATAAATAATTTTATTCCCAAAATAGTCCTGTGAAATAAGTATTATTTTTTATCATTTTTGTATTCTTAAAAAAAAAAAGTAAGTGTTGCCAGGTGTGGTAGTACATGCCTGTAATCCCAGCACTTGAAAGACTGAGGCAGGAGGATTGCTGCATATTACAAGGCCAGCTTGGGCTACAGTGAAATCCTGTCTCAAAATACAAGGAGAATAAAGGCTTGGAAGGATTAGGTGATGTGTTTAGTGACTTAAGTGTGCAAAGTTGAGATTTATTTATTGACTCCCTCTTATCCCCTTGTCCAGGCCTGTGTTTATAATAGGTACTATAGTGCATCACTATTCACAGTGGCTACATAAGTGCTCACAGTGCAAAAACTAATAAATTTCTTAAACTAGGTCTGATGGTGCATACCTATAACCTAGCACATAGAAGGCTAAAGCAGGAGGAGTCCTTCAAAGACAATCTGGGTTAATAGTGAGTTCAAGACTAGCCTGAACTACATAGCAAGAAGAAGAAAACAGATTTATCTATCTTTAGCTATGCTTATTTGTGCTTCAAGGGAAAATGCTTCAAATGTCATTAATGAGTATTATTATTATTTTGAAGTTTTAAAAAACTGATTCTTTAAATTTAATTACATACGAAAAAAAAAAAAAAACCCTATTCTAAAACACACACAAAAAAAGTATTTATAAAAAAGGGCCAGGGAGATAGCTCAAAATGCTTGCCTGGCAAGCACAGGGTCCTGAATTCAATCCCCGGTACCACAAAAAAAAAAAAAAAACAACTATTTATAAATTTAATTACATATTCATGAAAGGCTTACAATAAACATAATAGTGCCTATCCTGAGTACTATATAACTAGCAGAAATTTTTGTCTTATGATTGTGTTTTAAGGTTTAAGGGATGTTTCAAGTTACAAAATATATATTATAATTTGCGTAGTTATGAAAGATATGTTTACATTGATACCTTTAATCAAATTTAACCTAAATATTTTTTAGTAACACTGAAACTTTTGTTTCTAGATTTCAAGAATTAGTTTTCTAAGGTAAGACACTAGCTAGTTTCAGCATAATCACAGATACTATAACCTCAGTAGCATTGGAATCCCAGAAAATGGACCACAGACTTTCTAAGGTCATAAAGAAATCTAGCTCCAGAACTGGAATTAGAATTCTTACTTCCTGTCTTAAGCCTAGGAAATCATAACTTCTTACCTTTTCTTTACTCAGCTTTTCTCTGCTAACTGCAGTTTTTCAAGCTCTGAGCCTGACCTAGGGACAGCTAATGCTTAGTATGTTAGTGAAGCTACGTGGGAAAAAAAATGTTTAAATACTCAGATTTTCTTCTGAGTTTCTGATGCAGAGAATGGAAGTGGAGAATCCACAATTTTCAACTAGAATCATTCTGACCTGTATGTTTTATCAACCAGTCAAATCAGAGTAAAGTCTAAGAATGAGATTTGTACCTTGTAGTTTTTTTCCTACTCAAATGTCTTGCATGTGCTTGCAGTACTTCCAGTGTTTCTAGGTCCAGTCTTTTCCTTGTATGTAAGTAGTAATCCTAACTTGGCAGTGAGGTTCTCAAAGCCACTGTTTAAGCATAACTAACACTGAACACATCTCTGAATCATCATCTCTCCATAATTAGTTGGGCCTCCAAGACTTGTGCCACAGCTTTTTTGATCACATATAGAAACTATTTATTTGTACATTTCGAAACATTCCTTAATTCTTCTCTCTAGGGATTCTTTTCTCTCACTGCTCTGTGCCTATGTCTGTAGGATACCTAAATAATTTACACTTTAGCTGGCTTTTCAAGAAATTTGTTTGGGAAAAGGACAGGTAGTTGTCCTAACAGCCAATAAATATTTATTAAACACTCATTAGTATGAATTCCTTGAAATACTGTATTTAGGAGATGCCAAGATTTATGTCATGGATTGCAGGGCTAGCTTCCTACCACTGAACAACATTCTTCTGGGACCTTAACTACATTTGTCAGCCAGCTGAGTAAAATAGACTTGAAATTGTCAATCCAATTTTTTTATTGGCTTTGATTTACTACAGCCGAAATTCCAGCACTGTAATGTCTGAAAGCAGGATTTTCTGAGGAAAGATAAGAGGATGGGCTCTGGGGTTGGCTGTAGGCAATACTTCTGTGGACTGTTTGCCCAGGAGTTTTTATAAAAACCAATTATCTTGACTAAATGGGGTCAATCTTGTTAAGTTTAAATGCTCTTTCTTTGAATTATGCTTCTACTTTAAATATATTTCAGTAACTTAATTTTACCTCTTATTTCTCAAAGTGACAGTGGAATTCACTGAAATAAATAAGATTACCTGCTTTTCTGACTTTAGTACCTTTTTGAAAAACTCAGAGCCCATTTTTATTTATTTCAATTTTTTTCCAAGATCCTTGGGGTAAAGGAAAGGGAATTGCCAAAATACTTGAAATAGAAAACAAAGCAGATAGGCTTGACATTTCTTTGTGGTCAAGAAGTAATTCAATCTTTAAGTTAAAAATACTCGTGGACTTTAAGACTCTTAGCTCACTCTTCTTTTTCCAGAATCAGGTACTTCAGAAGACTTCCACAGTTATTCTGAGGAAAACTACAATTTTCCAACCTCTCTGTCACTCAATTGTGAAATATTAGAATAAAAGAAACAAATTTGGAAAAGAAAGACAGTATTAATATATCAAGAGTGTTCTTTTTTGGCTATATAGGCAGAGTGGTGATTTGATCATTTAGTACAGATTGTAAATATTGCCTTGTGCTAATAAGGGAATGTGGATGTTTCTGTAACTTCAGAAATACACTAAAAAGAGACAGGTCCTAACAGCCAAAGGTTCATCTATTTATATCCTGGCATCTCATTCCTAGCAATAAAATCTGGACAAGTCCCTTATTCCTTTGGAACCTTCATTTTCTTATCCATAAAACATAAAGATGTATATTTTCCATCAAAGCACTGTGTTATAACATCTGTTACAGTGTGGAGTAACCCTCGCTTCCTTTCTAGACTGAGAACTTCCAGGTCTTCTGTATACACTGGTGCCAGATGTAGGTTTGGGCACATGGTTGGAGCTAAGTAAATTATTGAAAACTACAAAAACAGGGCCAGCAAGATAGCTCTGTGAACTAAGCGCCTGCTTAGGCAGGGACTGGGGTTCCATCCCTGGCACCACCGCCACGCCGGCACCACTTCCTGGGCACACTGAGCCAGCCACCAAGTCCAGGCATAGCAGCGCACGCCTGTAATCCCAGTGCTGGGGAGGCTGAAAACAGGAAGATCACTACAAGTCCAAGCTGTGTAGTGAGACCCTGTACCAAATACATAAAAAAATTTTTTTTTAAACTACAAAAACATTAAATGACACATCTATAATCCCAACACTTTGAAGGCTAGAAGAGGAGGATTGCTATGAGTTCAAGATCAGCCTGACCTTGAAACCCTGTCTTTAAAAAAAAAAACTATAACACCTAACTTGAAGACAAAAAATACTGCCAAATTCATACTATTTTGTTTAGTGAAATTCTGTATCATTTTTAATTTTTTCTGTTATAATTTTGTATTCTTTAAAAAATAAAATTAAAAACTATAAAAACATTGTATAAATATAAAATATTGCTACTGGTATTATGTATGTTCTGTTTGAAAGGTATGTACAGAAATTTCTACTTCCTAATCCTAATAATTAATAAATCGTTTGATAATTAACTTGCTAAGTTTTAAATGAACTGTTTTCCATGTTGAAAGAATATTCTTCAGTAATCATAAATTCATTGTACTACAAACTTCCTCATTTATGTAATAAAGGTAGGACTTGATTTGTCTCTCCTGAAACAGCCCAAATCAGGTAACAGTTATGACCCCCTTTGGGCTCATACATTATTTTTGGTTCAGAGTGTTTTCAGGGCTTATCAGCTTTCTATAGTTAGTAATTTTTGTAACCCAGGTTATTTGTGTGTTTGTCTTATTTCCTCTTCTACTTAATACATATAGATTTTAGGAAGGGGAGAGACCTTGGGGATATGTGACAATCCAAGTATGGCACACTCCCGTGGGATGGGTTTTTCTTTACAATCTAGCTGAAAATGTGTAAGAAACTCAGTGACATGCATAAGAGCTGCATTAGTCTGGTCTAAGTGGTAAAATATTCTTACTGTCTGAGATGGATATATTCTTACAAACCAGGTGTAAATCATATGCTACATTATAAGCACTTAGGGAAGTCTGTTTATTTGTAATTAAATCCTTTGGCAAGTATTTTTTAAATGAACAAAAATATCTAACTAATTATTCTGAATTCATTTAATGGACTCGAAAACTCACCACCTTCAATTTTTGTGGGTTGTTTGTGTTATTAATATGTTTGATAATCTAGGTTTATTTGTTGAATTTTCTATGTTAGATTGAAGAAGCACATAAGGTAATGAGGAATATGGTTGGGGGGTAAGCAAAGATTTATTCAGATGACAAATATTAATTGAGTGCCTAAAAAGTGCCAAATATATTTTAAATGCACACCATATAGAAATAAACAAGACCAAATTTTAGAGCTTACATTTTAGTACATTGCTTTATATAAGACCTTTTTGTCAGTTTTTAGTTTTTAAGAAAGCATATAATGACTAATCAGGTAGTCTGTGACTTTTTAAAAAAATGATGCAGGTTTTATTCTGGAGGACCAGCCATTATCAATATTTTATTTTCCATTAAAAGGAAAAATGATTTTTAAAGAAAAAAGAGAAAGCACTCTCTGAGGTCTCTACCTTGAGGCTGGCAAATCTCTAAACCATTCAAGAAATATTGTTTCCCAAAGAAAAGTCCAAATATCTTCCTGTATTTCACTAACATGTTCTTTATCTTCTATTTCATCTTAAATTTTGGATTGATTTTTTAAAGTTAAGAAAACATTGTTTACTTTTTAAGAAAGAGATTAAAACTCTTAGTCTTCATAATAACATTTGAAATGTTACAAGATCTCTTGCAGTTGATCCATTTACGATAAAAAAGGTTTAAGAATTTGGAAATATAATGTCATTACCATTAATGAAGTTTATAAATCTTCATTAAGAAGTTTGTTAGACATGTGGAATGGTTGAAAAAGATGTGGTACTTTTATATAAAGGAGTACTACTCAGCTATAAAGAATGATAAACTTGAAGCCTTCATATTTAAGTGGATGCCCCTTGAAGATATACTTATTAGTGAAATAAACGAGACCCACATCTGTAAATAT